GGAGTACCGCCCCCTTTCTTGCAAACTCGTCCGAAGCGATCAATACTCATCAGTCGGCTCTGCAACAAATTCGAATACTTTGAAGACGGATTTGAATCGCGTACGAATTCGAAAAATCTATTCGAAACCCCGTTCTTTGACTATTCGAGTTTTCGGATTTTATCGAATTCTTTCTTCTTCTTTTTTTTGATTATTCGAATTTTCGAATTTTATTTGAAACCCGTTTGAATGTTTGAGTTTTCGAATTTTATTCGATAATGGAAATTTGCGAATATCGAATGATCGAATTTTTATTTGAATCGGACCCAAGTATAGTGTACAATCTAGGGCTGTTTTGGATGTATTGAGATTTGGACGTACTATGAAAATTCTGTGGGTTTTGTCATGAAAGCAAATGCATAAAAACGCGAAGGGCTGCTGGAGAGGGAGGAACAGGCTGCAAGAGCTTTGATTCAACCGCTCGCAGCTGCATTTTGGTGTGATTTTCTTGTCACCGAAGCGCTCACGCTGACTACCCTGTTTTTGCCTACTTTTGGGCGTTTTTCTGGCGTGTCTTCCCTTTTTTGCGGTGGACAGTGTAAAGAATAGTTATTGACCTTGCAGAAATTCATCTGACCTCTGAGCTAGTGCAGAATTTGCCTCGAGCAAATTTATCGCTTCGGGCATGCATGATTTACTTGTGTTCTCCTCAAAATGAGGAGATCGGCTTCTTCAACAGCAAATTACATAACTAACTTCTTTTTGCCACGACAAAGCCCTTAAGAGCTTGGTTTACATAGTTGCAGCGGCTGACCGGATAATTCAGCATTGTAATTCATTAGGGGGCGCAAAAGCGTCCCGATGCCACAGCTTGCAGGATCGTCATTCAAACCTTCATTCAAAGCAAATACGAAGAGCAAGTTCAAATAGTTGAGCCAGGTGAAGGTACATTTCAGTTGTTTATTACAACTGAAACTAAACATCGATTGATAAGATCAGAATTGTTCTATAATATAAGCACATGCGTTAGTTCTAACCTACTATTACAAGATGATTACGTTATGATATTATGGAAGAAAAGTGATGCACAACAAACATTATGGAGATAAAAGAAAACTCGTAACCAAAACTCATTCAAGCAGACACTAGATACACGGATGCATGAGTGAGACAGCTCCAGTAACGCTAACAAGCTATGATCACAAAGCGCAGATAGAGGAGAGAACCTGGGTGTGTGACGAGTTTATACGGCATTAGAGATAGACAGAAAAGACATAGATTAGCTCTGGTGACAGAAATCGAGAACACACAAAATGGATCTTAGCGCGGTTGAAATGGAGGTTGACAACAAGTTATCAGCCTGATGTAATGGTATAAAAAGGTGAGATTAGATACATGTATTCGTTCGAGAGACCTTAGGCACGACATAGTGGAAAATGAACATAACATGTCGGTGTCGTTATTTGTAGGAGTACCCGCGCTCAATTAAGCTCCATTTCTGTTGAATCCAGCGCGTCCTTAAAGAAAGAAGTGAATGCAAATTAGAATAGCACGCATATCGGCACAATGCAATTTGCTGAGCTTACTTGATCTTACTACTCCAAACATGAAAATGATCCAAACATGAAATAATCCAACCTTTTCATTACTGCTACGAAGAACTTTGAATAAAAAAGTTAACTGAAGACATTGACTTTCAACAAATTTCGGCACGATACTTAAAATCACAGATCAGTGCAGGACTGCTTTATCGATACGATTGGGAGCAATCTCTTTATCACATTAGAAGCAATGGCTTCGCGAATTCAGGTGGTACTACCAAATGCAGCTTATTATCGTGGAGCTTGATAGGGCAAAAGAGCAGGCGAAAACTACCACGCCATAACGTACCGCGTCTTCGTCCAGCACTTCCTCCTCTTTCTCCACTACCGCCACTGCCTCCACCGCGCAGTCGCCCTTGACGACGTTCCTGATCTTCTGTTTGATCATCCCTATGCTTTGCTTCCTCTGTTCCAGACCATTCCTCATCACTATAACGTGCGCCATCACCTCTGAATTTAAGGTTGTTTGCATAAATGCAAAAGTAGTCAGAGAAAGTCCATCTATTTACTTTCTAGCAACTAAAATGGTCAGAATAAGTCGATCATATGATGAAAAGAACATAAATGTTCAAGCGTTTCAAAGCAACCAGAAATTCATTTGCACGACTAAAAGAGTAATGGGGTTGTACACGTAACCATCCGTAGCAACAGTACAAAGTACTCTAGTACAGATTGCCATAAGTGGAATAGTGATGGTGTGTGCCCTGGCTTACTGTCTTTTTCTGAGACGCCACCACTGGGATGAATGTCACCGTACAATCGAAAGTGATCAGAAGAATGAGTTGCAGTGCTGACAGCAGAAATGCTTCAAGAAAACAAAATTACATATTACGAGATATCTATCCATTATCTACATAAGCACCTAAACTCAATCCATCCAGATATCCTAGGACGATAGAATCTTACGGTCCCAACGCTGCCGAAACAATATTTCAAACTGATTTAAGCCTGGATACGTTCAAGCACTACTCCTTGATCACCGCTGCATACATAGCAAAAATCGCTATACATGACTGATTGTCAAAAATGACCAAAAAGAACAACCTCAAAAAAGGTCAATGACACGCCATAAATGTGAGCCTACCTCCAAGGTTTTCCTACATTGCTTGAACTTCCATTGGCAGAGCCACCATTTTGACTACCCCCGTTGCGATAGCCACCTCGACCACGTCCGCGGCGTCCTCCGCGCCTGTCAAAGCCACCACGATCACCATAACCATTGCGTTGATAAGTGCCTATAAAGACTTTCGCTATGTAACATTATAACAACTTATTCCATTAATCATTCAAGAAATATTTGCTGCTAGAGAAGCTGGGAAGGCAGCGTTCGAGCAGATACACAAAGGGGGCCCGTCCTGGTAAGGCTCTTGCCCAATTCCAATGCACCATTTCGCTTTTGAAGCAGAAGAAACCGCTTCAGAAGCGAAATGGTGCAAAAACCGACGACCGAGACGCTCCGGCGACCGAGAGTTTCAATAAGCCTTGCGCATGTGGCACGTACTTGATCCGCTTCGTTATTGGTCAATTCAGTGAACTGACCAATGATGAAGTGGATGAAACAGTCAAGCGGATCAAGAGTCTAACCGCTTCGCTGTTGGTCAGCTCACTGAACTGACCAAGGAAAAGTCGATTAAGCGGATCAAGTATGGCGCGAGCCCAAGGCACACAGACAAGATGTAGGTTCCCACAACGACCCTGCGTCTTAACCAGGGTAAAGCGGGGGGTGTGGCACACGATCGTCG